CTCTGATGATGTTTATTACCCCAACAACTGAGTCAATAACATGCTTAATTTTCAATCCAACTTTACACAAATTTTCTTGATGAATGACACAATGAATAGATATAAGTGCATGATCTGGATGTTCTTTTATTTTTCTGTTTATCAGTGTCAACAAACCTTTGTTTTTTCCAGTCAAAGCTCGAGCACCATCAGTTGTTACACTTGCTAATTTGTTCCAGGCTAATCCATTTTTTTCAATACAATTTTCCACAGAATCGAATAAATCTTGGCTAGTAGTTGTGTCCTTTAGTGATTCAACACTGAGCAACTCTTCAGTAATTTGAAAGCAATTATTGATTCCTCTTATAAATACTAAGAGTTGTGATGTGTCTTGCATATCTGTGCTTTCATCCAAAGCAAGAGAGTACCACAAAAATTTTTTACTAGCAATTTGAAGCTGTTGCAACAAGTTTTCACTTATCAAGATAATTCGTCTGACTACAGTTCTTCTTGATAAAGAAATACTATCAAATTTTTTTCTCTGCTCTGGACACATGATGTTTGCTGCATCCAGCAAGCATTCTTTGACGAACTCGCCATCAGAAAATGATTTACTATTTTTAACTATTTTGTGAGATAATACCAAACTAGCTTCTGTTGTAGCCACTTGGATTGAAGATTGTTTGGTAAAAACGTTTTGCTGTGTTTTTAAATTTTTAAGCAATTCTTGGCATTTCCTTTTTCGATCTTCATCTGAGAATTTGCTTCCAAAATCTAAATGTTTCGATTGCTGATGCCTTTTCAAATTATACTCTTTGAAAACATTTATGGACTCGCGACAAATTAAGCAGACTGCTTTTCCACCGACGTTAGTGAAATAATATTTAGTTGTCCATTCCTCATTAAATACTCGACATTCGTCATCTATTTTTCTTTTCTTGATAGCAGACATGACTTTTAAATACGAAACAAAAAAATTAAAAAAGAATACAAAGATGGCTTCCTCCTGCACAAAATTCAATTTTAAACAGTGTTGCCATTGAATTTAAAATAAAAGACTGAAAGGTTCAAGTTAGAATGGACCATATAGCTAGAATAAATATAGTGATAATGCGGCCCAGATAGGAGAGATTTTGTTGGAAGAAAATTTAAATCAGACAACTTCGGTCAAGCGCCGATGTCAGCCCGACTGGAGAAGAGCAAATTTTGTCTTAATAAGCTCGATTCAACATTTTTTAAATATCAGGAATGACAATTTTGTGATAATAATGACATTATTGTGACAAAATGTTTATTGCGATTAGAAATTTGTGCGTAAAAATTAAAAACTCAGAGGACTTCGCAAGCTTTTCAAAGCGGACTGAGATAATAAATACATAGAAAACTTTATATTTTTTTTTGTAATTTTTAAATATTTTTTTAACATTTTAATTAAAAACTGGTATTTAAATTAAAGATTAACAAGAAGATCAACTATATAAAAATGAATAAAAAACCAAGGAATCGCTAATAGTCTATGTC